AAGAACAAAAAAGCCATGATTAGTCATTTTAATACAGAAACATCTTCAGGTGCTGTAGATCACTAAATTTTCGGGACACTTCATTTTCGCGAGATAGTCACTGACTCCTTATTAGCAAGACAGAATATTCATGAAATGTGTTTGCTGTATATAATCTTTAGGAATACTTTTATAAGCGAGAATGAAATTTTCATGAGCACACTGTCTCACGTAATTACGCAAAAATAAAGTTCTTGTGAATAAAAAGTGTTTTACAGTAGTGTAGATTCAAGATTATTCAAATTATGACCCTCGGGGGTAGGGTGGAGCCATATTAGAAAATAAAACTTATAGGGAAAAAAATCTAAATGGGGGATAGATTAGAACTTAATTTATGAGTTGTTACTGAATATTAGACTAATTATTTCGATGATCATGATCATCCTATTTTTCTTGCTTTTGGGCAACAAATTAAGGTTCTTCTATCAATTTATTTTATACTCTATGGATCCTCTATGGATTGTTGTTTTATACTCACGTGACCTTTAAGGCCCTTGGGCCTCTTGTTATATGATACATCATGGATATCATTTAATTTCGATGACGAATACCAAGAGTGCAGACTGCAATGAACTTACAAACTAGGAAATCAGGCTTTCTTGCATTTTGTGGGGCCAGCCAAATGGCGCAGTGCACGTTTTACACTAATACAGTGGCTATACAAGCTATAATTTGGGTCCATTAAAAATGAATTTGTAAATTTTTTTATTTGTTTACCGAATAAAATTATGAAAATGTTGTAAATCACACTTGAAATAGAACATGTGATTTAGATGGCAAATCATAATTATTGATTTTCGTTTGTGTCGGCATCCTGGTTAAAGTTTTAGGAGCAAGTCCATTCCCAAGTAACTATAAGCTGTACCTGGACCCAACTTACATGGATGATGCATCTAGGGATGGACAATACTAGACTTGCTTCAGATACTGGATCTGACCTAAATTTTTCTAGATGAGTGACCAGGTTAAAGTTTTTGGAGCAAGTCAATGCATTTCCAAGTAACTAAGCCCTACCTGGACCAAAGTTGCATGGAGGATGCACCTAGGGATGGACACTACCAGACTTGCTTTGGATGCTGGATCTAACCTTTATTTTCCAGATGAGTAATTATTAGCCTTACCAGAACCAAACTAGCATGGAATGATGTATCTAAAGATGGACACAAGAAGACTTGCTTTTGATGCTGAATCTGACCTAAATTTTTCAGATATGTGACCAGAGTAATGTCTTTGGAGTAGCTTTATCACTTTATGACATGTTATGACTAAACTTGCCGGGATGATGAAACTAGGGATGGACACTACCAGACATGCTATGGATGCTGGAACTGATCTACATTTTCTTTATGAGTAAACAGTTTAAGTTTAAAGTTTTTGGAGCAGGTCTATTCCCATGCAACTATAAATCCTACTTTAACCAAACTTGCATTGATAATTGATCTCACACAAAATTGGTACAAGATTTACCTTACTTATAGATACACATGTACCATTCATTGAGCTTTGTAATCTTTGATTACCTATGTTTATATGTTGATAAAAAAAAACTCAATAAACAGTTAACTTTTTTGTAAAAAGTATCACTAGTCAACCAAGAAACTTGTTTTCCCTTAGATCGAACACAAGTTTTGGTGGTCATTTAATTACAGGCAAAGAATTGATTAAAATTTAAAAAAAATCTTCTAATATTTGGTCGATAAAATATTTCAGGAGGGATCATTTCAATGACAAAACAAAAGATTAACAATGGTTTTCAAAAGGGTGTCAATTTCATTTGTTATCCTCCAAAACAGGCACCATTTATATAGTATGTTATTAATTAAAGCTTATGTATTCCCTGATCACATCTGTTTTCAGAGAAGACGAATGTCACCTTCATCAGAAGCAGATTTTTACTGCCAGGCTGGCTTTGACCAAAAAGGTTTTGAGATCAAATTTATATCAGACTATAAAAGCAAGTTTATATTATTAATTTACTCTCAACATCTGTGGTTTTGTTTTGTAAAGTGGATGGATGTAGAAAGAATAATATTGCTTGAATTTCATATTTTTTCATTACATGATTATAATTTTATATGCTCTTAAAGGACTTATCGCATGATCTTTCAAAAATCGTAATTTTATGAAAAATATTATCTACAACCTTGTTTATTAAAATACTGAATACAATAAACGTTGTTGAAAGCATATTTTAATAGATATTGGGAGTTGAAATTCAAATACGGCAATATGCATATTTCAGCCCGATTTCGGCGGAATACTGCTCTGACGTCATAGGCGACAATTCAGTGATAGAGAGATGAGAATATGCACACTATTTACGGAGTTATCAACGACAAATGCAGCTTAATTACGAAAAATGCTGAAAAAATTAATTCCAAACGTGCTTTTCATTTACTATAGAAACATGAACTAGTTCTAAGGTATAAGACTTTTGAGATATTTTCGTTTTTTTTTATTCCAAACATTTAGAATCTATAGCTCTGATGGTGTCGGGTGGTTACAAAAGCTCTGATTACGGCAATGTTTCGTGATCGAGAAATTATTTTTCAAGATCGCCATTAAAAAACGTATGAGGACTTGCATAAATTAATATTATGTTAAAAACGAAGAACAACAAAGTTATATAATGTTAAATTTGTGAATCAAATAAGTAAATACATATGATAAGATGACAAATCAAATCGTATTCTGATGGCGAGTTTCTTCGTCTTCGCCGCGTTTCCTTCGCTATCGTCGCTGCTATTTTTACAATGTTAACAGATTTTTCAGATTTTTTCTTGCTGACAGTTCTAACATATAAGGTTGGATATTCAAGTTCATATGGATAAAATAAGGATTTGGTCGTCCACAACGCAGAAAATTCAGGTTGTATCGCGTATATTTTCGTAAGATTAACGTGGAGCTGATCAGCCATTGTCGCCTTTGACGTCACAGGGTCACGTGATTGCTATCTAATTAACTTAGATTTTTAAATCAGGGGTTTTCATTTGAGTCAATAATTGATTAATTACCACGGTTTATCCGCAGTAAAAACACAAAATTTATAAACTGTGGTCATAAGGAACGTTTTACGCTTTTAATTTCAAATAATTTAGAAACATGCAATAAGTCCTTTAATTTATAGTTTTGTGCAAAAAAGTTAAAGTCCAGATTGATCTGTATTTAAATTTAAGTTTGTATATTTTTTCCAAAAAATATTTTTTGTATAATTTTTAACATAAATGATGTTTAAACAAATTGGAAATACTGAGACTGATTCTAGAGTAATCCCCTAGTTACAATATGATGTCACACAAAGACACATTTAGCAGAAGACTTATACCTGGAAAATAAGATCTCAGAATCTGAATTGATAAATTTTTCTGTAATATTTTGTGTCTATAAGTAAGTCTTTTATTGAACCTATTTGACTAAAGTGAGCATCATGGCCCATGGGCCTCTTGTTTGAAGACAGTTTTAATTTTTAGCTCACCTGAGCCGAAGGCTCAAGTGAGCTTTTCTGATCACATTTTGTCTGTAGTCCGTCTGTCCGTCTGTCTGTCCATCTGTCCGTCTGTAAACTTTTCACATTTTCGACTTCTTCTCAAGAACCACTGGGCCAATTTCAACCAAACTTGCCACAAAGTATCCTTGGGTAAAGGGGATTCAAGTTTGTTCAAATGAAGGGCCACGCCCTCTTCCAAGGGGAGATAATTAAGAATTCGTGAAAAATTAATGGCATCATTAAAAATTCTTCTTCTCAAGAACCACTGTGCTTGAAAACATGAAACTTATGTGGAAGCATCCTCAGGTAGTGTAGATTCAAGTTTGTTCAAATCATGACCCCCGGGGCTAGGGTGGGGCCGCAATGGGCGATCAAAGTTTTACATAGGAAATATACAGGAAAAATCTTTAAAAATCTTCTCCTCAAGAACAGCAAAGCCATAATTGGTCATATTTATAAGGTAGCATCCTCAGATAGTGTACATTCAAGTTTGTTCAAATCATGACCCCCGGGGGTAGGGTGGGGCCACAATGGGCGATCGAAGTTTTACATAGGAATGTATAGGAAAAATCTTTAAAAATCTTCTTCTCAAGAACAGCAAAGCCATAATTGGTCATATTTAAGTGGAAGCATCCTCAGGTAGTGTAGATTCAAATTTGTTCAAATCATGACCCCCGGGGGCTGGGTGGGACCACAATGGGCGATCAAAGTTTTACATAGGAATATATAGGAAAAATCTTTAAAAATCTTCTTCTCAAGAACAGCAAAGCCATGATTGGTCATATTTACATGGAAGCATCCTCAGATAGTGTACATTCAAATTTATTCAACTCATGACCCCCGGGGGTCGGGTGGGGCCACAATGGGCGATCAAGTTTTACATAGGAACACATAGTAAAAATCTTCTTCTCAAGAACAGCAAAGCTATGATTGGTCATATTTATATGGTAGCATCCTCAGATAGTGTACATTCAAATTTGTTCAAATCATGACCCCCGGGGGTCGGGTGGGGCCACAATGGGCGATCAAAGTTTTACATAGGAACACATAGTAAAAATCTTCTTCTCAAGAACAGCAAAGCCATGATTGGTCATATTTATATGGAAGCATTCTTAGATAGTGTACATTCAAGTTTGTTCAAACATGACCCCTGGGGATCGGGTGGGGCCACAATGGGTGATCAAAGTTTTACATAGGAATACATAGGTTAAATCTTTAAAAATCTTCTACTCAAGAACAGCAAAGCCATGATTGGTCATATTTAAATGGAAGCATCCTCAGATAATGTAGATTCAAATTTGTTCAATTCCTGACACCCCCCCCCCCCAACCACTTTTATATTTAAACTTTTCAACCTTCCAAGATTGAAGTGATTTCTGCTTTTTCCTAGCCATAGTGCTCAGGTGAGCGATGTGGCCCCTGGGCCTCTTGTTAAAAGGTGATGTTGAATCTAAATGCTTTGATGTTTTAGACATCCAAACGGCTAGCTCGGATGTGGAAGTGGAATCGGCCCCTTTTAGTCGGGAATTCCATGGGAAATTCATTTGACAGTGATGATGATGATGAGATTAATTCAGGTAATATATATAAATATAATTATACAAGTTGCACTACCCAGTCTGCTGTTAAGCTAATTTCATGATAATGTCATAAAGAGGGATTTAATATTTATCATGTTTATTCACATGTTTTTGGACACAAACTATTTTTTTTATGTAATGCCATCATCAGTATCAATACTTCATAAAGATAGGCTTCACCCAGTCTGACTATTAAGCTAGATTTATAATAAGGTTATGAACAAGGATATATTTTCATCAAGGAGCAGTGGTCTAGCTTCCACTTGTTGCAGTGTCTCCTAAATTGTGCACATCATTGAAGAACCATTTATAAAATTTTCAAATCAATCAGCCAGAACATTGTTATAGCAAACATGCTTAAAATGAATTTATATGCTTACATTGAAGTGATTTCCTTCCCCATAGATTTAAAAGTGTTGTAAATGGAAAGTTTATGTTTATAAAGAATTAAATATTTTGGTCCCCAGCTCTTTGCTATTGTAAGCATGTTTTACTGTATTATTCCCTGTTGTTTGAATAATTAATTTATCTTTAATTTGTGTGATGCCATTTTAACCATATCTACTAGTGTTGTCAACGAGTACCTGGTTAACCGGTTAATCGGCGAACAATGCGAGTATCAGATAGTAAAACTGCTACTCAGCTACTCGGATATATAGACAAAAGTAGAAAAGAAATGTTATTTTGTTCAGAAATGAATGTACACCTCTACCGTTTTATTTACCGTTATTTAACGTTAGACTTGATCTAGCGTTTCACAAACATGACCGATTTGTTTTGATAACACTTAGTTTTCACAGGTTATCTAATTGATGGCTTTGATTGCCAAGCGGTATACAATGTAGAAAACCTGGGTTAATTATAATTAACTCACTTATACTGTGCTAGTCCGCAGTACAGGATTAATTTTAAACAAGATGCCTCCACAGCCATCAAAAGCATAGATTCCGAAATGTTTTAAAAGAATTTAAATCTGAAAGGTGTAAAATATGTAAAATGAAATTAACATACACAGAAACGAAACTAAAGTAACATTATATTTAGGACATCCGCAAAAATTGCCAACTATTACAGGATATTCAAGAACAAATTCATTTAGAAGCTTTATTTTGTCTTTTTATAATTAAAAATAAATAAATGAAATGCATCTACAGTGCATTTGCATTTGATATTGGCCAGTATCTAAATGTTAAACATGGAAATTGTAATGACGTTACATATATTATCTAAAAAAAATCCATCCGTGTAACCGTTTACTTGATTGGAAAAGTTACTAAAAATTGTCCGATTTGACAACACTAGTATCAACACATAATTATAAGATTGGATGCTGCTCGGTTCGGATGGCCAGAGTCATTTTTATCACATAATTGAAGACATATTACTGGCATTTTGTTTTTCTCACATTACTTGAATTCTTGGTTGCCTACAACAAAAATATTTAAATTGATATTTGTAACAGAGATTTAATTTGCAAATTTAAAAATAATGTTACAGTAGAACTGGAATTAATATAAAAGTAAGAAGAACTGGTATACATAGCTAACACAATAAAGCATCAGCAAAGTATTGAAATTATGAAGAATAAGAATCCAAACGGCTAGCTGTCTGTGAAATGTATTGAGCATGGATATGAAAAGAAGTGACATACTGTTATGAATGAGATTGAGTGGCCTTTTGCTTTTACTTAAGGATTTTCCAAAACACTGATTGATTTGTATTTGAGAATAAATTGTAGTATTCTTATGAGATGCAAATCCAATTTAAAAGCTTCATCAAATTAAAGACAGACTGAATTATATGTCCAAAGAATGTGAAATGGCATTTCATTTTGAAATAAAAACATGATTTCAACTCAGAAAAACCAGTGGGGTACAAAGTAAACAAACTGGAGTGACATACCTAGATTCTCTCTAATGGTCTAATACATGTATGTTTAATTTGGGATGATTATTTTGATTCCTTCATTCCATAGCAACATTGATGTGAAGCCAGCAATTTTTTTCATGCCACGTACAGTATCTAATAATCTCTGCATTAGTCACATACCTCAGTATTTGTGTCAACGTTTTGAGTTTCTATCTTTAACTTTAAAATTTATCACGCAGATGTAGTGAATTTCCATGTCAGAGGACAGTAATTGCACCATAGTGATTTTCCTTCCCAGAGTATATTATTTACACACACATGTACAGTCTTTACCAAATCTTTTTTTCAGGACATGCCCTTCGGGCAGGTTTAACCACTTATTACGCTAGCCCGAACAAATATTTACATGCCCAGAATTTTATCAAGTAATTTTATTCTTATCTGCCTTTTCATGCCAAGGAAATGATCTGAAATCCATTTCTATAGATCTATTGTCTCGCCATTAATATTGTTTTCAACCTGTATACTTTTTGTGTCTCCTTTGCAAAAGAGTTCCTTGGAAGTCACGTATTGTTTTCAATGCGTATACTTTTTGTGTCTCCTTTGCAAAAGAGTTCTTTGGAAATTGCTGTAGAATAAACTATCGTTAATATTTTATTTGGTGCTCCACTTTAGATGAAAAATCAGACTTTTAAGTACATTTAATGTTATTGGTATTATTTAAGTTGATAATACGGAGGCTTAGGCCTCAGAATTTACATGCCTTTCGGGCTTGTAAGTATGCAATTTCCACATGCCCGCTTCCAATTTTACCAGGTCCCAGGCTTCGGACTCCTGGAATTTGTCGAAGACTGCATGTAGTGAGTTTCCTTGCCAGCTAGAGTACATTATTTACACATATGTAGTGAGTTTCCTTGCCAGAGTATATTATTTACACACATGTAGTGAGTTTCCTTGTCTGTTTAAAATGATCACACACATGTAGTGAGTTTCCTTGCCAGAGTACATTATTTACACAAATGTAGTGAATTTCCTTGCCAAAGTACATTATTTGCACACATGTAGTGAGTTTCCTTGCCAGGGTAAATTATTTACACTCATGTAGTGAGTTTCCTTGCCAGAGTACATTATTTACACATATGTAGTGAGTTTCCTTGCCAGAGTATATTATTTACACACACGTAGTGAGTTTCCTTGTCTGTTTAAAATTATCACACACATGTAGTGAGTTTCCTTGCCAGAGTACAATATTTGCACACATGTAGTTAGTTTCCTTGCCAGAGTACATTATTTACACACATGTAGTGAGTCTCCATGCCAGAGTACATTATTAACACACATGTAGTGAGTTTCCTTGCCAGAGTATATTATTTACACACATGTAGTGAGTTTCCTTGCCAGAGTGCATTATTTACCGAAATGTAGTGAGTTTCCCTGTCTGTATACATTTATCACACAGATGTTGTGAGTTTCCTTGCATTGGTTTATTTTCATTTTCGATCAATGTTTGGAATCAGCTTCTGTTTCAATGTTATCGATTATAATCAGACACCAGATTTCTACTTTACAAAGCATAATTTTGAAATTTTAAATTCAAAAGTAATGAGAATCTTTTATCAAGTAGTTTTTTAGAATCTACACACCTAGCTTAATTAAAAATCAAAACAAAAAATGGGGGTTAATGTGCTTCTCTTTGCGCTATTGAGCATTTAGTTTGACTTTTTTGCACTGTAAATACGTCTTACACATAAATCAATTTTTAAAGTTTTTCCTCCAATATTTTTTTCAAATAAATTATGGGAACAAACGCAGTCTTATTTCACCTTGAATAGGTGTATTAAAATTTGTGACAACAAAAAATTTTCAAATTACTTCGCAAGTTCAATTATTTGACCTTTTTGCACTCAGAAAATATTTTTCTGGCATTAAAAAATTTAACAAGCAATAATAATGACATTTTACTGAATTTAAGAAGAATGGTTAAAAGTATTTTATATATTCAGAAAAGAAAATTAAAAGTGGGGGTCTGTGATGTTAATTTTTAGATATTACCAAAATAATGCTAATTTTAAGCTTAATTTAAATTACGGCTATTTTTTCTGGATTTTCACAATATATTTGCTATACTTATCAAATATAATGATAGAATTCATGATATTTTATTTGATATATAATTTAGGACCAGCATAAAACAATTCATGGCTCAGAATAACTCTGTGTGTAGGCTGCATGGAAAAATAGGAATCCAAACTTAACATACTTTAAATACTTTGATTGAGAAAGAAATGATCATTTTCTTCTAAAAAAAACCTTCCACCACAAAATATACTGTACGTGTACATAAATTGGCGTATTCAAAATTTAGCGAAATCACTGGGTTTTGAGGTGTTGGCGACATTATGAATTAGCGCTATAAATGTCTGTACCGTATATTGTATTTATAAATGATTTCTTAGTGGTATTCATGAATTAGTGCATTGTTGTCTGCGCCAAGGGCCCCCTAAAATATGAAGCCTGCTTTTTTAAGTACACATACAGTAGTTCCTCACTTAATGCTTTTGGTATGGAGTTTTAACTGAATATATTTTAATTGGTATTGTAGAATCCAAATTTATTGTAAGAACTAAAACATTATGCAAAAGTGGAAATACAGGTTAAGACAAAAATCTGCTCAAAAGCTCAGGAGCATTTTACTTCTTCTGGAGAACCACTTGGCAATTTTAATTTGTTTAAATGAAAGGTGACCAACTTTTCAAGGAGAAATAGCTATGAAACAGTGAAAATTTGATTCATATAAAAATCTCCTTTTTATAAACCATTGAAACTTATGTGGAAGTGTCCTGACATGGTATAGATTCAAGTTTGCATGTTCAAATCTGACTTAATGGGGTAGGTGGAACCAGTATGGAATCAGTATTTTTTTTTTACATCAACATATAAAAAAAATGTCATAATAAGATGCAGTCATAACATGGTAGTTTGTTCAATTTTCTTTTTGTAATTAAAAATAAATAAATGAAGTGCATCTACAGTGGGGTAGGATAGGGCTACAATGAGGGATTGAAGTTTTTCATTGGAATGTATGTCACAACAGGACATTGATTAGTCATATTAATGTCCTAGCTGTTATCCTCAGAAAGTGCTGTATAATTTTTTTCCCAATCATGGTTCCTAGAGGTACCCGTAGAGTGGCACAACAATAGTGGATTAAAGTTTTTTGTGGGAATATAAAGGAAAAAATGTTTAAAATAAAAAAGAAATGGAACTTTTTTTTAAATACAATGTATTTTGTGATAAAGAACAAACAGCAGCATTTTTTTTCTTCCATAACTGGTACCATTGAACAGAGCCATTCCACCAAAAATGTTAATTATTCCTAGTTTGAGAGCATTAATATTTTTCATCAAATTTTGAATTCATCTATTTTTATGAGAAAAAAATTGTAAAATGCTAAGTTCAAAATCTTTGGGATTGGTATTTTGACTACTTTGTATGGACATTCTTTAAATAGTGCACTGTGCACAAATTTGGTTGAGAATGCACATTTAGTTAAGTATTTTAGTATATCCCTATTTGTTCAACCTATATATATACTGTCCTGTCTGTCCACTTTATTTTGCAAGTCATCTAAATATTTAAGTGGTAGCCAAAGAAATTCATTTTCAGGTGATTGATTAGTTTTTGTAGATGTGTATGAATTTTGATCTCTCCCCTGAAGCTAAGCTGAAGTGAAGTGATAATTTTGTTGAACATGAATTGTTAGATATCAAATGAATTCCAAACTTTAAGACTTCGTTTCAATACGAAGGGATATGTTAAGATTTGAGCATTGATTGGTGTATACAATTAAAAGAATGTCTTTGTGCTTGCATGATGAACTGGGTTGAAAAATTTTGAAAATATTAAATGTTTCCCTTAGCTTGTTGTGATCCTCCTGGACATCCAAGTGTTTTCGACATTGATGAAGATTTTGTCACTCTCTCTCTCTTGGACCAAACCAAGAAATGAATCAGATGGTTTTAAGAAGATTATAGGATATGTCATAGAATACGAAGACCCCACCACTGGAGGCAGGCTAATGACTACCCAGTAGATGAGTGTGTTTATGAGGGTGAGTAACTGATTACTTGTTGACACATTTATCTTTCTTATAAACTAGTAAGTGGATTTACATGTCCTTTTGTTGCATGTAATTAGTATGTTATGGCTGAAAACTGTGAAAAGATGTTTTACAAAAGTGATTCTTGAAATTTGTTTTGTTTACAAAACTTGAATTTGAGAATTTTTTCATCAGTGTAGGGATTAAAAAAGGACAAGGAATACAACTTCCACATACGGGCCAAGAATCTTGAAGGTTTTAGTGAGTCTAGTGATGTGATTGGTCCCATAACTCCCAAGCCCAAATACAGTAAGTATATTTGAAAAAAATTATAACATTTTAAAAAACAATTACCATATTGTACTTTAATTTCAATTATTTTTTCTTTCACATTTTTAAACTTTTATTTTAGCCAAGGTTTTGCCACCTGGTGTACCAGAGGCTGTCAACAATTCTATAACTTATCTGAAATGGGAACCACCTAAACATAATGGTGGCTGTAAAATTACAGGTACTAATTTAAAAGTAGAATAAAAAAGGGAAATGTTGATCTCTGTTCAAAACCACATAAACACTGTAGCAGTTGATAATATTGATTATCTTTGTAGACTACCTTGTGGGAGAGAGGTTTAAGGGAGCAGAGATGTGGTGTTAGTGTAATGAGTACCCCTGCACTGACCCCTCTTTACTGTCACCGATCTTCCTTAGGACTCAGAGTGGGAGTTTAGAGTTACAGCTGTTAACTTTGCTGGAAACTGTGAGCCCAGTCTGTGCTCACCAGCATACAAAATCCAGGAGAAGATTGGTATGTTGTCAAGTTAATAAATGTATCGTACATTATTATGGCACTAGAAAAAAGATTTGGAGGTCAAATTAAACCATAATGTGTATTTTCTTCTCAAAGCCCATAATATTCTCACTTTATTGGTCAGGAGCTGAAATTTATGTGAAAGCTTCCTGATGTAATAAAGATTTCAAATTGTTCAAAAAATGGCCTTTGAGGTAGATGGGGCCACAATAGGGAATCAAAGATTTACCTTGAAATATATACATACATTTATGTACTGGTTAAAATCTTTACGAATCCTCTTAAGAACAACTGGACCACTGGGGGGGGGGGGGGTTCAGAGACCCTTTAGAGTTAGGATAGGGTCATAATATGAGTTCACAATTTTGCATGGGAAAATTAAGGAGAAAAAAACTTTATAAACATTAAGAAAAGCTTCTTTTAAGTTACATGGGAAATGTTGTAGCCCATTGGACTCTTCTTTGCATGCATAGTAAAGGCAAAAAAAAATAGATAACCCCTATTGTATTCATAAATTTGAATCTTACTTTTTAAGAAAAGTGTTATTTTCCAATTTAACATCTAATTTGAATGTTTTGACAGAGTCTTTTGCAATTGAGCAGGATGAGGAATCACACCAATCATTTGTAAATGAAAGCAGCAGTCATGATGTTGTCAATGAGAATGGTAATCTATATTTATGATGTTGTTTGGATGTTACAAATTAAAAGTTAACCCCATAAAAATGAACAGTCTTAAAATGATAATTTCTTTTTTAGAGGTTTAAATAGGATATGATACAGGGCCACTTTTAAGTGATGAAGCAGACGAGTATGATGATGGTAATGATGATGAATCATACCATCCTTCAAGCGATGAAAAAAGCTGTGATGAAGATACCATTAATGATCTTGGTAATAAAGCTGAAAACAGAACTTTCTTAAGCTCAAGTAAGCTTTTCTGATCAAAGTTTGTCCATTGTCCATCTCCAGCGTCATTGTTGTTTCAAATTTTCAGCTCCTTCTCAAGAACCACTGCGTCAATTTCAACCAAACTTGCCACAAAGTATTCTTGGGTGGGGGATTCAAGTTTGTTCACATGAAAGGGATCACCCTATTTTAAGGGGATATAATCAAAAATAAGTGTAAATTTGATGGCATCTTTAAAAAAATCTTCTCCAGAAACAATGGGCAGAGTTGTTTACTTGTACAGATTTTTAGTATTTCCTATGAATCTTCAAGTAAAAATGTGCTCTACAGATTCACGTTGAAAATATACAGATTTTCCCTAAAGACGGAAAAAAATCAGAGTCGTTCCCGAAATTTGCCAATCAGTTTGATAAAGAAGCTTGTTGATTGAAGTGGTCTTATCAAAAATGATCTAAAAACAATATAATTAAGGCAAATGTAAAATATGTAAGCAACAGTAGACAGCATACGGTGACATGCGTAGTTAGTGCTTAGTATTTGTATAACAAGGGGTTCTTCATATAAAAATGTCTAATAAGCTGAGTTGCATTTTTACTGACAAACTGCTCAAAATACTGACAACTTCTAGAATACTGACATCAGTTAGAAAAGTTAAACAGGTCTGAGTGGGCCAGAAAAATTATTCTCCAGAACAGCAAAGCCATGACAAGTCATATTAATACAGAAGCATACTCAGATAATGTAGCTTGAAGTTTTATCAAGTAATGTCCCCTGGCAGAAGGGTGGGGACACAATGGGGCATAAGACTTTTACATGGAATTATATAGAAAATGTCTTTAAAGGCCTTCTCAAGAACAACAAAGCCATGATTTGTTATATTAATACAGGAGTATTTTTCAGGTAGTGTACATTCAAATTTATTCAAATCATAACATCAAGGGGTAGGATGGGAGAAGTAGTTTCAGGTTTGTTCAAATCATCACCCACAGGGCATAGGGTGGCACCAATTGTATAAGTATAATTACTCAAACTTTTCAATACTGAACTGATTTCTGCTTTTCTCTTGCAAAAGGGCTCAGGTGTCATGGACCATGGGCCTCTTGTATAAGGTGTTATGTATTACATTGTACAATATGTAGATTGTTTAAAGTGAATTAAAATTCTGGCAGAATTTCTGTCTTGAATTTTAAGTATGACTGTTTCTTTATTACAGTTAAGGATTAATTCCATAAGTTGTTTTTTCTCCAGACATGATCACAGTCTGATAAATTGACAAAATTCATTTTAAATAAATTACTTTCCTTTGATTCACATTAACATGATGTTCATTAGCCAGCATTATAAATTATAAATATCTCCATAAGGAGCTTAAATAGAGTGTTTCAATCATGCCTAACAGATTGAAGTATGGAAAAACAACTTTCATACCTCTTCATTAGGTTTGAATGGGTAAGATGAGGCCATAATAGGCAATCAAAGCTTTACATAGGAATATATAGGGGGGAAATGTGCAGGGCCATTGTGACATGGGTGAGCCATGTGGCCCATTGGCCTCCTCTATAAAAATAAAGATGAATCCCTTTTGTCAATACATGTACATATATAATAATTTCAGATATGCCCAGTAAGCCTCTCAAATCTGAAATGCAGCAGAAACAAGCTGCACTTGCAAGTGACAGCGAAAAGGACAGTGAATGTGAAGATGATCATGATGATGTCAGCAAAGTTTTACCACAGTCAGAGAAGCGAAAGACCAGTTTTTTAGAGGCCAAAAACATCATCTGGGAACTATGATAATAAAAAACATTCATGTCTCTTTTGTGAGAAGTTTTGCCAGCAGGCCAATTGATGGTATGCAATCATATAAGCCCATAGCTCTTTAAGTACAAAAAATTGTGAGATTCATTTTTGCATATAGGTTCAGGATGGAGCTGAATATTGAAAAAATATATCCTATAAATTTTTTTCGTGGACATGTAGCAGACAGCTGTTTGCATAATTTAAGCAAGTAATTATTTTTTAACCAAAATTTGTGAAATTTATCGCTCATGACCCATTGTTCATGCAAGGTTTACCTATTTATATTGACACTTGCAACAGACCCATAGAACGCCCCCCCCCCCCTCCCCCCCCCCCACTTTTTCTGAGTATAGTATTTTGCTGTAGTAAAGTATCCTTTATATCCTGGTTGCCGTTGCCCCCCCCCCCTTTGTTGCAATAAGGTCGGTTCAGTAAATAATGTTTGTTTTTTTGCTTGTCAGATATTTTTTGAAGTCCCCCCTACTTTTGAAACCCTTGCTATGGGCTGTAAATTGAAGTTTTAAAAAATCCTTCACTGGTGAACATCTAGCAGGCAAACTAGCAGGCATAAAATTAAATATGAAGATTATGAATAGTAATTAAACTCAAAAGTCCATTAGAATAATCCATATTCGTAGCAGAGCAAACATGGACCTCTAAAATTAATCTTAATTAATGCTTAGCCCTCTAATTGAAGGCTTCTTCATGTTTCAGGCCCATGAAAAGGCAGAGTTAGTCATAAATTAGAATGTTTTATACAGTATTAGCCAGTATACCTTATCCTCTTTACTTTTGAACTTCTAGGAGTTCAGCTGCATCAATATGATAATAAATATAGAATTCTTGTGAAAATTTACGATTTTTGTTACATGGGTCTAGATTTCTAGATCCAGGCGGTTTTGAAATGACCACAGCCTGAGAAATTCATAATACTCAGGTAATAGTCAAAGCCTAGGGCCTTTTGTTGCATTTTAAACACAGGAAGTTATTAACTGCATGATATTTATATTTCTTGCTTGGTTGTCAGCTTTAAGCTTAGAGATTTTTTTTTTTATTTCGAAACTTGTGTGTTGTTTAATGCACTAAGAAAATGCCACTATATTTTGCACAAATACTGACTGATTGTCCTTGATTGTTCTTCTGTGAAAATAAGCTTATTTTGGATACCTTAAAAATTAACAGCAAGAATTATCTATTAACACTTGGCTTATACATGTGTATCTTATTTCATGTCAGCATTCTTTTCATGTATTTTTTTGTATAGTTGATGCAATTAAATTGTTTCATGCAAACAAACCGTCTTTTTTGTTTGATCTTTCAAAATGTTGTAAAACATTTGAGCAAAGGGATAAGAGAACTAAAGGGTGCTGTATGAACTGCATTTCGTAAAAAATCATGGTTTTAGAGACCAACGTATTTGAGCAATGGGATTTTTAAATGCTGAATTGGAAAATGAAATGATGAATATGAAATGATAGAATGTTATGCATAAGAAAAACAATGAAGTGGACTTTCCCCACCAAAGTAATTTCAGTTTTTTGAAGTCATTAAATTGCAAGAATAAATAAGAGGGATCATTATTTTTCCCCTTATTTCAGGTCCGTAGAACGCGGAGGCCACCCCCCCCCCCTTTTTCTGAATATACTATATTACTATTGTAAATTTTTCTTTGAATGCTGGTTGTGGTGTCATCCACATAAAAAAGAACGAGATGTTTTTACATGAACAGTAGTTAAGTAATTTGTAATCCTATAAAATTCTTGTTAAGAAAAAAATAAACTCTTTAAGATCATAAAAAACATAATGATTGCATTTAAAATTGGGGAACGATTTTCAATTTCTACTTGTCTTACTCAATGCAACAGAAAAAAAAAACCCAAAACGAATATTCTTGACGAAACAAGTCTTGAATCAACGCACACTCGGCAATTCATTGCCGTCAGCGACGTAAAAGCAGAGGGGAGGGGTAGCTTGGCCCCTCCTTTTTTC